CCCCACCCCGGGACCCCAACCCCGGGACCCGCACCCCGGGACCCCCACGCCGGGACCCCCCTGCACGGGGGAGGGCCTGCAGGGACCCCTGAGAGGGCTCCGGGGCTCCCCCTGCGCTTTTTGGGGGGACTTAAGGGGTGTCCGGGGTTCCCCCCGTTCCATGGGGGTGTTGGGGGGGGTCTCCGGGGGTCCCTTTGGTCTTTCGGGGGTCGCAGGGGATGTTCGGGGGGTTTGGGGGGTCCCTTCTGGTTTTGGGGGCGGGGCTGTGGCGGTTCCACCGCGCTTTGGGGGGGCTGCGGGGGTCTGTGGGGTTCCCTTTTGGCTTGGGGGGGCTGTGGGGGTCCCTCTGTGCTTTTGGGGGGCAGCGAGGGCTCGTGGGGGGGTCCCGTTTATCTCGTAGGGGGCTGCGGGAGGTCCCTTTGGGCTTTGGGGTGTCTCGGGGGTCTCCCCTGGCTCCTGGGGGTTTCTGGGGGGTCTTCGGGGGTCTCCTGTGGCTTTTGGGCTGTTGTGGGGGTCCCTTGGTGTTTTGGGGGTGGCAGCTGGGGTGGACCCAGCCTGGGGGGGATGGCGAGGGACCACCCTTGTGGGGCTGCGGTGAGTCCGTGGGGTCCCTCCGGTTTTTTGGGGGGTCTTGGGCTGTGCTCCTCACCTTGGGAGGAGCTGCAGGAGCCCCTCTGGTCTTTGGGGGGGTTTGGGATGTCTTGTGGGGTCCTGCTGAACTCGGGGGTGGGAGGATGTTGCTTTTGGGGTGGGTCCCCTGTGCAGGGGGTACTGGGAAGGGGGTGCAGTTTGCCTTCCCCTGTGCCTCAGTTTCCCCACGTGTGAGCTGGTTGCAGGCTCACTCTGGGGGGTGTTTTTGGGGGTGTTTTTGGGGCGTCTCACCGATCCCTCTCCCCAGCTCGCCCACGCCATCCGCCTGCTCCTGGAGTACACCGAGACACCCTATGAGGACAAGCTGTACAGCTGTGGGGAAGGTGAGGGGGGTCAGGGGTCCCCACAGCACCCTCAGCCTCTTTTGGGGTGCACATCACCCAACCCCCCCTTCCCTTCCAGCTCCCGACTACGATAAGAGCCAATGGATCAACGAGAAGGAGAAGCTGGGCCTTGACTTCCCCAACGTAGGTGCTCGGGAGCTGGGGGGCTGGGAGGGGGGTGTCCTGGTGTCCTTCTGTCCCCTCCAGCATGTCCCGGTGTCCCCACGTCGCTCTGTTACCTCCAGCATATCCCCATGTCCCTCTGTCCCTTCTAGCATGTCCCGGTGTCCCTGTGCCCCCATGTCCCTGTGTCCCCGTGTCTCTGTGTCCCTGTCCCCATGTCCCTGTGTCCCCATGTCCCTGTGTCCCCATGTCCCTCTGTCCCCACATCCCTCTGTCCCCATGTCCCTCTGTCCCCATGTCCCCCTGTCCCCACATCCCCCTGTCCTTGTGTCTCCTGTGTCCCCACGTCCCTGTGTCCCCATGTCCCTGTGTCCCCATGTCCCTCTGTCCCCACGTCCCCCTGTCCCCACCTCCCTATGTCCCCTGTGTCCCCATGTCCCTGTGTCCCCACATCCCGGTGTTCCCATGTCCCTGTGTCGCCACGTCCAGGTGTTCCCATGTCCCTGTGTCCCCCATGTCCCTGTGTCCCCATGTCCCTGTGTCCCCTGTGTCCCCATGTCCCTGTGTCCCCTGTGTCCCCATGTCCCTGTGTCCCCCCAGCTCCCGTACTTCATCGACGGCCCCACCAAGCTGACGCAGAGCAACGCCATCCTGCGCTACATCGCCCGCAAGCACAACATGTGTGAGTGGGGGGATTGGGGAATTGGAGAGGGGTTGGAGTGGGGTTGGAGTTGGAGGGGGATTGGAGTGAGATTGGAGGGGGGATTGGAGGGGGATTGGAGTAGGATTGGAATTAGATTAGGGTTCAATTGCATTTGGGTTAGTGTTGGATTACAGTTGGGGTTGGAGTTGGATTAAAGTTGGGATTGCAGTAGGGTTGAGGTTGGAGTAGGGTTAGTATTAGGGTTGGGTTGGGAGCTGGAATTGGAGTAGGGTTGGGGATGGGATTGGAGTAAGGTTGGAATTGAATTGGGGTTCAGCTGGGCTTGGTTTGGGGTTGGACTTGGATTGGGGTTCAGGTTGGAGTTGGGGTGAGCATGGGGTTGGAGCTGAAGGTAAATGGACCCAAAGCCAGCAGCTGAGCTGGGACCAGGGAGGGTTTGGGGTGCAGGGCTGGGGTCAGGGGGGGTTTGGGGTGCAGGGCTGGGGTCAGGGAGGGTTTGGGGTGCAGGGCTGGGGTCAGGACAGGTTTGGGCCCCCAGTGCTGAACCCTCTGTGCAGGTGGTGAGACAGAGGAGGAGATCCTGCGTGTGGACATGCTGGAGAACCAGATCATGGATTTCCGCATGAGCCTTGTCATGGTCTGCTACAACCCTGACTTTGTGAGTGTCCTGCGGGCTGGGGACCCTGTGCCAGCACTGGGGACCCTGTGCCAGCATTGGGGACCCTGTGCCAGCACTGGGGACCCTGTGCCAGCATTGGGGACCCTTGTGCCAGCACTGGGGACCCTGTGCCAGCACTGGGGACCCTGTGCCGGCATTGGGGACCCTGTGCCAGCATTGGGGACCCTGTGCCGGCACTGGGGACCCCATACAGGGAGGGTGCTCCCCATGGGGGCAGGCTGGGGCTGCCCATCCTCACCCTTCCTTCCTCCCTCAGGAGAAGCTCAAGCCGGGCTACCTGGAGCAGCTCCCGGGGAAGCTGAAGCTCTTCTCCAACTTCTTGGGGGACAGAAAGTGGTTTGCAGGGGAGAAGGTACTGCCAGGGCTCCCGAGGGGGCTGAGGGGCTGGGGAGGGGGTTTGTCCTCACTGTGTCCCCCTGATGTCCCCAGCTGACCTTCGTGGACTTCCTCATGTTCGACGTGCTGGATCAGAACCGCATCTTCGAGCCCAAGTGCCTGGAGCCCTTCAAGAACCTCAAGGACTTCGTGGAGCGCTTTGGGGTGAGCAGGGGCACCCCGAGGGCACCCCTGGGTGGGGGCTGCCGCGGTGGGGGCACCCCTGACGCTCCGTGTGTACCCCCAGGCTCTGGAGAAGGTGGCTGCCTACTTGAAGTCCAGCCGTTTCCAGAAGATGCCCATCAACAACAAGATGGCCAAGTGGGGCAACAAGAAGCTGTAGGAGCTCAGCACGGGGGCTCAGAGGGTGGGGGGAGTCCTGACCCAGCCCCTCCAGCACCCTCCATCCTTCGGGGGGGGCAGCACCACTGCCATGACGCCCCCCAAGACAATAAAACGCTTTTTAGATGTGGCAGCCTGAGCCCCCCACAAGACTTATGGTGTTGGGGGGGGCACTGAGGTGGGGGGTACCCCGTGTGGGGTGAGCGGGGGTCCCTGCCCCGGGGGTCCCAGCCCCGTGTTGTGGGTTGGTTTGGGGCACCCAAATCCGTGTGGCTGGGTTGGTTTGGGCCCTCCTCTTGCCCTGGGAAAGGGAAAGGAGCCCCACTCCTCATTAGCACGTTCCTAACGAGCTCTAATGAGGCAGCCCGGACAAAGGCCGGGGGGAGGGAACCTTGGTGCCCTGCCACCCACCGGGGTGCGGAGCGGGGTGGGCTGGGGACAGCCCTGTCCCCTGGGGCCCCTCGCTGCCACCGACTCGCAAAGATGGGGACCAGGAGTGTGCTTGGGGTGCTGCGGGGGTGAAATGCTGCATCCCTCTCCCTGCCCTGTCCCTATTCCCCTATTCCCCTGTTCCCCATTCCCCTTGTCCCTCTCCCTGCCCTGTCCCTATTCCCCTATTCCCCTATTCCCTTGTCCCTCTCCCTGCCCTGTCCCTATTCCCCTATTCCCCTATTCCCTTGTCCCTCTCCCTGCCCTGTCCTATTCCCCTATTCCCCTATTCCCCATTCCCCTTGTCTCTCTCCCTGCCCTGTCCTATTCCCCTATTCCCCTATTCCCCGTTCCCCTCGTCCCTCTCCCTGGCCCCGGGCTGCCCCCCAGACTCTGCACACCCCACTGCTGTCACTTTTATTTTCCACATCAATTTACATTTTGGGGGTGCAAAGTCGCTTCACGGCGCCGGACCCCGCCGAGGGGGGTGCCTGCCCCCCTCCTTCCTTCGCGGGGGATTCTCTGATTTCAGGCAGTGGTTCTCTGTCGTGGGGGGGGTGGGTTCACCCCCAAGTCCAGCCGGTCCCAGGGTGCTCCATCGGGGGGGACGTGATGGGACATCGGTGTGGCCTCGGTGGCTCAGTCCCTGGGACCGATCTGCAGAGGAGGGGATGGGGGAAGGGGAGGGGGCACGGGGATGAGGGTCCCTCCTCACCATGGCCAGCCCGGGCCGGGGCTCTGGGGCCGAGGTTCTGTCACCCACAGGGGTGAGGAGGGGGCCGGGGGTCCCACACCCCCCGGGACCCCTGGGCCGGGGCTGGGCGTGGAGGTCCCGCCAGGCCAGCCAGGGTGGGGAGGGGGCGCGGGGCCGAGGGTCCCGAGGTGGGGCGGGGGTCCGGGGTGGGAGTGCCTCACCCCCAGGGATGTCCGGATGGGGGACAGCTTGAAGAGGACCCTCCGCCACTCCTCGGGACAGACGCCGCGCAGCTCGGCCGGGCTCATCTGCAGCAGCTCGTGGCCCCGCAGCACCCCCAGGGTCCGCACCGTGCTGCGGGCGGGCCGGGGTGAGCCGGGCTCGCCCCCCGCCCCAAACGGACCCACGCGCGTTCTGCGGGGAGGGGGCTCAAGGGACCACCTACATCCGCGAGAAGCCCTTGTCCATCAGCCAGGCCGTCACCTCCGCCGGCGAGGAGCTGGGTTGCAGGGTGGGGGGACTGTCCTGGAGCGGGGCACAGAGGGAGGGGACATCGCGGTGGCCCCCGCGTCCTGGGGGGGTCTCGGGGAAGGGAGGGGACAGAGGCCGCCCACCTGCCAGGCGCTGCGCCCCGGCTCCGGGACGGGCTCCAGGATGTTGCCGGGGACGTGCCCCCTGTCCCCCCGCTCGTCCTGCACCAGCCACCACTTCCTCTGCTGGTCCAAGACCTGCGGGAGGTGACAGGGCAGGGCCCCGCGGTCCCCACTGCGTCCTCCCCACGAGCACCCGTGGAGGGTCCCCCCCGTCTGTACCTGCAGCGTGTCCCCCCTCCTGACGCTCAGCTCCTGCGAGTTGCGAGCCTGGAAGTCGTACAGGGCTCGGACCAGCCCCTGGGCAGGGAGGGGGGATCTGGCGGCGGTGAGGGGGTGGATCAGTGCCCAGCCGGGGGGCACAGCTCGCCCCGACCCTCGGCACGCGTGGGGAAAGGGGGGCACTCACTCTCGGCTGGGATTGTCCCTCCAGGCGGGGGCCGGTGCCTGCGCGGGGGGCAGGGACGGGGAAGGGCGGCGCAAGGGAGTTGGGGAAACTGAGGCAGGCGCTGGGGTGTCCTGGAGGCCCCCGCGGCGTTCCTGCTCCATCACGGGGGGCAGCCACCCGTCCGAAAACACCGGCGTGTAGGCGGGCACCGGGGCGCTCTCGGGGTACTCGGCCCTGCGACACCGGGGAGGGCACCGCGGTGGGCGCTGTGACCCCCCCAAACCCAGACCCCCTTTCTCGGTGTCGGGGGGCCGGAGCCCACCTGGACTTGTTCCAGGCGGTGCCGAGGCTCTTCCAGACGCCGTAGTCCTCGTCGCCCAGGCTCTCCTCGAGGAGCTGCAGCGCCTCGGGCAGCAGCAGCGGGCTCCGGACCGCCGGGGCCAGGCCGGGGCTGGGGCTGTGCTCCAGCGCCTGGGGGCAGCACCCCAGGATGGGGGCGGTGAGGGGTGAGCCCCACCCGTGTCACACATTTTGGGGGGTGGGACCCGCTCGGGGGGCACTCACGAAGGACAGAGCTGAGAAGATGAGGCGCAGCAGCTCGAGGGGGTCGGGGTCCGTCACGTAGAGGTGGCTCCGTCCCTGTGGGAGGGGGGGGTGTCCCCACGGAGCTCCCCCTGTCCTCACACAGCCCCCCCAGCCCCACGGAGCCCCCCAGCCCACCCACAGCTCTCATCCCTACACGGACCCTCCACCCCACGCATCCCCTCCGTCCCCACAGAGCCCCTCAGCTCACCCTCATCTCCCTCACCCCGAGCAGCCCCTCCACCCCACGGAGCTTCCCCGTTCCTAACCCCATGGCCCCCCGTCCCCACACAGCCCCACTCCCCACGTTCTCATGCAATCCCCATCCCCACACCCCCCATTCCCACAGGGCCCCATCCCCACGCAGTTCCCCGTTGCCCCCATCCCCCACACTCCCCCCCATTCCCATTTAGACCCTTCCCCACATCCCCCCCACCCCCAGCCTCCCCTCCAGCCCAGCGGGACCTACCAAGAGGTTGAGGGCGTATTTCACCTTCTGGAAGAAATCCGTGTACTCATCCCTTGGGGGCAGCGCTGGAGGGGCAGAGCCGGGGGCTGGCACCGGGAGAGCCCCGAGCAGCCCCCCAGGGACCCCCCCTCCCTTCCTACCTGGCTTCTTCGGCTTCTTCTTCGTGCTGGCCGAGCTCAGCGCCGCCTGCAGCCGGCCCATGAAGAGCTCCAGGTCGCCCAGGACGTGGTTGAGGATCTCCTGCGGGGGCAGGGGGGCGGTGTGTGCTGGGTGGGAGCTGCGGGGTCCCCACCCGTGGGGGCTCGGCCGGCTCGGGACTTACAACATCTCGCTCCGCCTCGGACACGGCCTGGGCGGGGGCTCGGGGCCGTGCCATCCGCGGGGCGTCCGGCGCACCTGGTGGCACCGGAGTCCCCAGCATCAGCCCCGCTCCTGGGGAAACTGAGGCACGGTGCGGTGCCTCCCTCCCCGGCCGAGACTCACGGTAGTCCGAGGCGAGCAGCCCACGCTGGGGGGACGCCCCACGCCGGGGGAACACGTAGGGGTCGGGCTCGGGGGACTCTGCCCAGCGCTCCGGGGCCGCGTACGGCGGGGCCGGGCTCGGTGGCGAGTCCGGGCTGCTCCGGGGCCAGCGGGATGGGGAAGGAGAGGGTGAGCTGAGCGTGGGGGGCGGTGCGGGGTGGGGGTACGGGGTGGGAGCGGGGCGATGCCGGGGATGGCTGTGGGGTCTGTGGGGTCAGAGGGAGGAGGAGCGCAGCGATGGGGAATAGGGCGGGGGGCGCGCCGTGCCCGTGGGGGTGAGGGGACCCCGAGCTCACGGTTGCCGTGGGGGCTCGGTGCCCGCGGGCATGAGGAAAAGGGGCTGGGATGGGGGGGAGTGAGCCTGTGGATGGGGTCAGGGGGTTGGGCCCATGGGGATGGAGTGGGGGGAAGGAGGCTGAGGCCGTGGGTGGGTGGGGGTTGTCCTCACGGCGTGGGACAGGATGGGGGGGCTGAGCCGGCAGCTGGGGCACTGCCCTCCTTCACCCCTCAGCTCGGGGGGCTTCGTGCCCACGAGGAGACCCCATGGCCGGACTCACCGCGATTCGGGCAGCGGCACCGGGGGGCCCAGCCGAGCTGTGTCCGGGGAGGGGCCGCAGCGCCACTTACCCGCCGTACCTGTGCCCGTGGTGATCGCTCTGCTCCTCCTTCCTCTGCCTCAGCACCTTCTCCAGGCTGCTCCGCAGCGTCTCTGCCTGGCACGGACCCGCTGCCCTCAGAGCCCATCCCGGGGGGCTGCCCCCCATCTTTCCCCGCCCAGGGCTCACCCCCAGCCGCTCGCACTGGAAGAGCAGCACGCTGCTCCTCGGCGGGCTCCGCTCCTGGACGCGGACGGCCAGCACAGCGTTGCCCAGGCCGGCCGAGCATCCCTGCACGCTTCCCAGCGGGAAAGCCTCCAGCTCCTCCTGCGAGGCGGAAAACGGGCTGCTCAGTCCCCCAGTGGCTAGGAAAGGGTTAAAGGGGGGCAGGTGGGACTGTGGGGTCGGGCTCGTGGGGTGTGAGGTTTAATGGGGGTGGTGGGGTGGCATAGGAGGGGGATAGCAGAGTCTGGGGGTGGGGAAGGGGTGGGTGCCAGACTGGGGGTGCCAGGGCTATAGGAGCTGCCAGGGTGGCGGGCACTGGGGTGTACTGGGGTTTGGGGGTACCTGGGCAGGAGGCGTTCGGGTTTTGGGGGGTCCCATAGCCAGGGGGTACCGGGGTTTGGAGGTACCGGGGTTTGAGGGTTCCTATAGCCAGGGGGTACCGGGGTTTGGGGGTTCCCATAGTCGGGGGTACCGGGGTTTGGGTGTTCCCACAGCCGCGGGTTCCGGGGTTTGGGGTTGCCCTGGCCAGGGGGTACCGAGATTCAAGGGGTGCCTTGGTTGAAGAGTGCTGGGCTTTGGGTGTGCCCTGCTCGGGGATACCAGGATTCAGGGGGTGCCGGGCTTTGGGGTGCCCTGGCCGGGGCGTACCTTGCTCTCCACATCGCTCAGCACCAGCTCCTGGTCCTTGACTTCCAGGATGACATCCTGCCCCCAGATCCGCCCCTGCTCCTCCAGCTCCTTCAGGCGCCCCAGGCAATCCTCGGCGCTGCGGAGCTCCCGCTCCAGGTGCATCGTCAGCAGGTGCTGGGGGGGACACGGTGCCACACGGTGCCACACGGGCCCCTGGCAAGGCTGGGGGGCGCGGGGCAGTTTGGGGGGGCTTCTACCTCAACGTGGTGCTGGAAATCGTTCTGGAGCTTGAGCAGGGTCTGCCCGTAGTCCTTGCGCTGGTCTGAGGGCACACGCAGGGTGAGGTGACAGGGACAGGCTGGGGGCGGTAGCGGGGGGCACTAAAGGGGTTTTTGGGGTGCAGCCCTCACTCACTGTAGATGGTTTTCCCGGTGAGGCGGACGAAGCTGTTGGAACGTCGGAGCGGGCTCCTGTCGTCATATTCACTCCTGGACGGACAGAGGGACATTTACACCCCTGTCCCCTGTGCCTCCCACCCCTCGGGGGTCCCCGGGGTGGGACCCCGCTGGCCGCTCACCGGGACGGGCTGCTGCTCCAGCGGCCGAAGGGGTCCCCCATCCTGCCGGGGGGCAGCCAGAGCGTCTCGATCCTGCTGTGGGATGCTGGGCGTGGTCCTTGTGCCACCCCAATGTGTCCCCAGCCCCCCATCCCGGGCGGTGCCGACACCCTGGTGGCCACCGGGACCGCCCTGACCCCCCTCTCCGTCCCCCCGCTCCATCCCAGCCCGGGGGGATCGCCGGCGGCCGAAGCCGAACCCCAAGTGCCGAGGTGGGGTCGCTGCCCCGGGGTGTCCCCCCCGCTCACCTCGCTGGCTGGCTCCGCCGCTCGGGCCGTGGCTGCGGAGGGTGACAGGGGCAGGGGACAGGGCTCGTCGTCGGCACCGCACCCAGCTGCTCTTTGCCCTCTCGTTAGAGCAGGGGAGGGACGGCGGGGACACGAGCACCTGGCACAGCACCACCCCCGCAGTCACCCCGCGCAGGGCGTGCTGGCCCCGGGGCACCCAGCGGGAGCGGGCCCGGGCTGTCCCCAGCCCAAGGTCCCCCGCCCCGGGGCTGGGTGTCGGTGACGTCCCGCCCGGCAGGACCCAGCCCTGCCACGCACAGGACTCTGTCCCTGCCCGCGGGGTAATCCCGGGCTCACCAAAGCTGTCCCTGCCCGGCAAAGGCTCCCAGGGTGGTTGGTACCGAGGCAGGAGCCGGGCTCAGAGTCCAGGATTTGGGTGAAGGATGGCTGCAGGGAGGCATCACCCCCAGAACCGGGGGTCAGCTTGGCTGGGGGGACACGGGGTGCCCGCGGGTCGGGTCTGTGGGGTTGAGGTGACCCTCTGAACCACCTCTCCCGGCGCGGGATGTGGGGTTTGGGTTCGTTTGAAGCCCTTTGGCTTCTCCGGTGCAACTCAGGAGGTGATGGACCAGCTGGGCCGTGTCCCCTGTGTCCCCGAGGGTCCCATCTGTGCTCCCCAGTCCCTCAGGCTGTCACATCCCTGCTCAGCTTCTCTCTCCTTCTTTTTCCCAGGTTTGTGGACAAAACCGACCCCACCATGAGGGACCCTGGCGTCCTGCATCCCCCAGGCGTCACACGGAGCAGGCGACCCCCTTTGGGAGGGTTCGGGCACGGCCGGCGACACGCCCGGCAGACCCGGGGGGAGCAGGTGCCGGGGAGCTGCGAATTCCCCCCAGAGGGGGCGGGAAGGGCTGCCGGTCGTGCCTCAGTTTCCCCGGCCGGGGAGGGACAGGGTGCAATCCCCACTGCGGCCACGAGGGGGCAGCACGTTCCCGCGTCGCCCCCGTCCTCCGCTGTGTCACCCCAGATGTGTCACCCCCAGATGTGTCACCTCCAGATGTGTCACCCCCAGCTGTGTCACCCCTCCAGATGCGTCACCCCCGATGTGTCACCCCAGATGTGTCACCCCAAGATGTGTCACCCCCAGATGTGTGACTCCCCCAGATGTGTGACTCCCCCAGATGTGTCACCCCTCCAGATGCGTCACCCCCCAGTGTGTCACCCCCAGATGTGTCACTCCCCGCTGTGTTATCCCCCAGATGTGTCACCCCCAGATGTGTCTTCCCCCTAGATGTGTCACCCCCCAGATGTGTCACCCCCCAGATGTGTCACCCCCCGGTGTGCCACCCATTGATGTGTGACTCCCCCAGATGTGTGACTCCCCCAGATGTGCGACCCCCAGATGTGCCACCCTTGAGATATGTCACCCCCAGATGTGTGACCCCCCCCAGATGTGACTCCCCCAGATGTGACTCCTCCAGATGTGTGACCCCCAGATGTGTGACTCCCAGGTGTGTCACCCCCCAGGTGAGGGACCCTCCCAGATGTGTCATCCCTCAGAGGTGCATCCGCCATGCCCGCATGGGGAGCCCCAGATGTGTGGCACTCCCCAGATGTGTGATCGACCCCCCGGGGTGTGCACCCCCCCCCCCCACATGTGCGATGCCTCCAGATGTGGCAGCCCCAGATGCGAAGCCCCAGATGTGCAGGGTCCGGGTCCTGCCAGCGCCTCCGACACCACCTGGCGCTGGGGACGTTTGGGTGGCACTTTCCGGGGCAGGGTGGCACAAGGGGCGGCCTGCGGTCCCCGCGGGAGATTTTGGGCTGCTTCCCCCCAAAAGCCAAGCCCCCCCACCCCCGGGGCGCGGCAGGAGCGCGGCCCGTCCGCTCCCAGCCCCGGCGGGGACAAAGTGCTCGCCCCGCCCCGTCCCAGCTCCTCCCAGTCACCCCACTGGGCGAGCTGGGACCGGCACCGGCCGCAGATTCTCTACAAATCCCCTTTTTATTGTTTTCCTCCTCAGTTCCCAGCCAGAGGCAACAATTCCCTGCGCAGCCCCGACCCGGCCGGGTCCCCTCGCCCTTCCCCAGGCTCGGGAAGCCCCCAGGGGACACCAGGAGACCCCTTGGGAAGAGCCGGCGAGGGACTCGGAGCCTTCTGGAGACGCAGAAATCTTTCCCCATTTCAGGGTTTGAAACCCCCAGCATCATAAGGTGTAAAATCTGTGAACTGACCCCAAAGCTCAGCTGCTCTGGGCAGGGAAATGGCCCCGAGCTGCAGCCCCTGTTCCGCTCCCGGGGACAGCCGTGGGGACATCATCCCCTTCCCACGGGGGACACCCGGTCACGCCCTACCCCAGAGACAGCACGGGGCGTTCTGGGGGGTCGGCAGGCAGAGGGGAGCGCAGAGGCAGCGGAGCCTGGAATTCCCGGTGGCACATCGGCCCCGGCCAGGTGCCACGGGGCCGGGAAGCCGCCGTGGCTCCGGGCGCTGGGTGCCCGCCAGGGACAAACCGCCAGCCAGCCTGGATCCGTCGCACGTCACCAGCCCGGGCTGCGGTGTGCCCGCATCTGTCAAATAATTGCTGGGGACCAGCGTCTCTTCGTCACTGGGGGATGGCTGGGGACATTTAACCCCTCAGGGGCTGGGAAAGCGTGGGATCCGTCTCCTTGGGTCAGACCGGACCAGGATGTCACGGCACAAAGAACAGCCCCAGGGCTGTGCCCCTCAGAGATGCTCAAATCCACAAGTCCTGCCCTCCACGGGGACTCCTGGGTGGTGGGCCCGCACGCTTTGGGGTGACACAGGAAAACACAGAGATGCCTGGTGACACCTCCTGTCATCCTGCCTCCATGTCTTGCTGGGTTCACCCCTGGTCCATGGTCACCCTGGTAATGGTCACCCTGGCATGGTCACCCTGGTCCATGTTCACTCTGGCATGGTCACACTGGTCTGTGGTCACCTGGCATGGTCACCCTGGTCCATGGTCACCCTGGCATGGTCACCCTGGTCCATGGTCACCCTGGCACAATCCCCCGAGGGTCCCTGCCAACCTGCTGGTCCCAAGTTGCTCTCCTGGTGCCCATCACCGTGCCAGCCTCGATCACCCTGCGGTCCCTGTCACCCTGCCAGTCCCTGTCACCCTGCGGGTCCCTGTCACCCTGTGGGACCCTGTCACCCTGATGGTCCCTGTCACCCCGGTGGTCCCTTTCTGGTGGCCGTCACTGGCTGCTGCATCTCCCATTCCTGCAGGTGCCCTCTCAGTGCTGCCACCCAGCCCCTCAATCCCTTGGAGCCACCCCAGGAGAATCCCGGGGGTCCCAGCCTGATCCTGGGCTCCTGGCCCACAGGCTCTGGCTTATCCTGATTTTCCCAGTGTGCTGCTGATCCCAGCCCTTCAGAGCAACGGGACAAAACCCCGGGCCTTTTTAACCCTTTGGCTTCCCCAACCCCCCACCCCCGCCGGTGGCATCCTTGGAGGCTGATTTGTTGATTTGTTTCCCCTCTCCCATTTCCAGAGGGTGAGTGGGTGACATCTGGGGCACTCTGGGAGTGACGTGCCCGTGTCTGGCTCAGCCAGGGGTGTCCCCAGCTGGTGGCTCCTGGCTGGAGCCCTGTGACCTTCACACCATTGGTTTTTTGCTTTGAGGAGGTTGAAATAGAAACTTTTTGGATTTCAGTGAGGGAGCTGCACGTGCTGCAGAGCGTTGGGGACCCCTCACTTGGGTGATCTTGGGCTGTGATCCCAGGCCAGGAGCCCTATGACCACAAAAGGAACTGGTTTTCCTCCACAGCCCCATGGCTCTGGCCACAAACCTGCAAAATCCTTCTTGTTTTTAGCGTGAAGAGGGAAAACCCAACGTGCCCGTGGCCACTCCTGTGTGTGGGACCCATCCTGTTTTCTTCCCACCATCCATCATCCCGGCAGCACAGCCCGGGGATTTCCAGGGGTAGGGGAGGCTGAAAAGACTGTGGCACCACAGAGATTTAATTAGAGGTGTTGAGGGCATGCAAATGAGCAGGTTAAATCCTGCTCGGGGGTGGCCACGTCCCTGAGAATGCTCAGAGGGTTTGGAGGGATTTCCCACGCTCCAGGTGCCAGGGGAAGGTGGATGTTGGGGTGAGCCATGGCTGGTGGGAGAGGGCAAGGAGGGAGGTCAGGGAGGTCACAGCTCCACAGTCATTCCACGTTCCTCTCCAGCTGGAATCCTCTGATGTGCTGGGATCCAAGAGAGCCCAAGGAAAGCTGGAAATTGGCCTTTTCTCCTCTAATTTTGGCATTTGGGATGAATTCCCTCATGGAAGAGGTGGTGTCTCCTTTACCCCTCCTGTGGGAATCCAGGGCTTCCCTCTGGCTGCCCTGGCAGGTCTGGGACCCTGGAGGGGTCAGGAACCCCCTGGACAGAGCCCCCAGAGACACTGGCTGTGATCTCTGTCCATGGAAAAGAGTTTTCAATCTCACAGCATGAATTACCAGCTCTGAGTGTTTGATATAAGGAATAATTAAGTGTGGCACGGGTGCAAAAGTAAAATTTTTGGATTCTAGATTAAGAATTCAAAAGGAACGAGATAGAAGAAATCGAGTGTGTTTCTTCCTTTTTCTCCTTCTTCATGCCCTCCATGTCTCACTGTGGTGTTGGCATTTTTCTGTTGGTTCGGGCTGGGGACACACTGTCCAACGGAGGTGACAGATATTGGCACGTTCTTGTAAATGCAGCCCAGGGAGTTTCTGGTATTTAATGTTTGTCACATCCCACTGAGGGCAGAGCCCCACACGCTGCCCTGCAGGACAGAGCTGGGCAGGGCAGCAGAACATGTGAGAGATCAACAGAATAAACAACCTGGAACCAGCACAGACCAATTATGG